ATATATGTATTTCGGCCTGAACCCTCTCTATTGCAATTCCAGGAATTACCCCCCATATGTGCAACCATTTTCCACCTTGGTACCACGCAAGCCTGAAAACAAAATCTTAATACCACGCTGAAGCGTTTGGTAATGAACCCAGATGTAGGAAATAACAGAATGAGGAATTTTATCAAAAAACAGGTAATTATAGCGATAATCAAACGCCTTTCATTTACATATTTCTTTTCATTCAAATGTTGTCACGTGATTTCTCCACTGATTGTGAACTGGGACTCACTTTCGCAATATTGAAGTCAATGCGAAACTACTTACTGACTCCTAACTGCCTAGACCAATCAGAGATCAGCTTATTTCTCGACGTATCAAATTTTGTCTTGTATAAGCTTCGACCCAACTGATGCAATATTAGTAGTTTAAGCCGAGAGTGTGGCCCGGAAACTTGAAGTTTTTATTTGATTGAATAAACGGAACAATAACTCACACCATTTGCTCTCTCTTACAGCTGAACCTAAAGCCCGGACAACATTTGTATGAAGGATTCTTCATGGAGAAAGTTTCAGACAGGGTCACTCCCTTCACAGAGGACGAGAAAAGTAGAGTACCAGACCTTAGCGTATTCAAGACGTGTATTCCATTCAGCATCGACTTAAAGCTAAAATTGGTTCGCTAAAGTTAGAATCTCAACTCGCTTCACATCAAGTTATAGTAAGCATACGATGCAAGTAATGATACAACTGATGCGTTTCTCAACTACTAATGTTACTAGTACCCATACAACGAAAACAATAGTTAATGCCCTTTCAGGATATAACCAACTCTTTAAGCTACGGATTAAATGTGTACAATGGTGGTATAAGTCGTGTTGTCGAACTATTGTTAAAATCAAATAATTGTAATTTCAATAACAAGTGTACATGTTTAGTATTTAGTGCAAATAGAAGTAATCTGGTGATTATTATACAGTTCGAGAGTCAATACGTGTTGTCATATAAATTAGGAGTTACATTAAATTAGGAGCTTTGGATAGATACCAAAAGTGACATCAGAGTGATGCGCCATAGCGTTGAAGCGATCGCATTTTTGGTCATCCTGTGCCATGGCATATGAAGCTATTTCAGACGCCGAATGCGCCCTCTGTCGACGAATCGAGAAAATGTCGAGTGCTCTGGGATATGGCCACAAAGAACGAACCTTTAGTTCATCAGCTTATCAGTTCAATAAACTTCCCCTTTCGCGCATCACTGCAAGTTATACAAAAACTCCTGAAGGAATTTGTGAAGAGCTAAGACTATCCATGATTGTACGCCTCGGTAGTCATTCAAAAACAACCCCCTATAGCAGTGAGCCCGCACGCGTTCAAACCTTGAAGTAGATTTCTTAGAAAGACAAACGAAAACTTACCTAAATATTCTAAGACTTTATAAAATTGTCATTATGATCATTGACGTTTCTTACACGTGACAATACTGGCCACTGCCCAGAATCGTTTGTGAATAGCCACTCACTTCTATTCTCGGGGCGGACATCCGGGCATTTTCACCGCCTGGCAGTCGTCACGGTGAAAAAAACGGTGAAGGCCGATAACTGTACTTTGAGGGTGATTGATGAGACTCCCCTGAACAGGGTAACAAAATTGCAAAATATATAAGTTTTGACGTGTTCTGTCCAATTGTGGATGTTTTTTCTCACAACGGGAACATTTGCCTTGAGTCTGCAAGACTAACAATTAAATTAGAACATTCATTTTTCCCGGAGCACGCCCACTTGACTGATAGCCGTGATTGATTGTATGACCGACACTGTACAAATGAAAACGAATTTCAAACCCAAAATCACGAAAACGAATCTAGTCACAATGGACTTATACTAGTATATTTTAAAACCAGAACCAAAAAATATAGTAAGCAGACCAAAATTCCATCATACTCCATACCCTTTCCGGTACCCCCGCCCCCGCAAACAATAAGTGTTGCAAAAGCCAGAATGTTGAACGGGTAAATGGGCTTGTCCCCGTATGATTGTTGAACGCCATAACGCTTGGAATGGGGATGTGGGTGGAAAGTGGATTAAAGTTGTCACATCACATTTAATATTTAATACTCGAGGATAACATTTCCTGGCCACTATTTGTCCTCCCTTAAATCTTCATGCTAAAGCGTCCATGCAACGAAATGATTCTTAACTTTATTCGCTATAAATGAACAGGAATAAATAATCCTTGACTAATCGCGGCCATCGCATAATGATCGAGAGTAATCGATATAACATAACACACCCTTTACCCCTTTGAATGTTGTGGACGCATGGAGCAGGGAACAGCCCCTGGTGGCGCTGTATACAATCGAAACCTATTTAGGCTTGCAAACACTCACGTCAGCGAACAGTGGAAAAAAACAGACACTTAAATTTAGCGACCAGTTTAGTATGATGGAAAACGTGTACAGTCTTCAAATGACCACAATAATAATAATTGCACTTAAAAATAATATTCATGAGGTATGTCTACGTCATAACGTCGTCAAAGTTATTAGCATATTGTGTACTCATTTTCCGTATTCCGCAACTCGTACGTCATTACAGTGAGCTCAATTGCAAGGTAACGTTCGGCTGAACGTTGTTCGTATTCGAAGCCCACACAAAAGCGACGCTACCCAGCGACTGCTCAGAAAAAAAAGATTTGTACACACTCTCACCATGCCATTCTCTATAATATGCAATTATGCTTAGGATAGGAGCAAAAAAAGAAATTGTCCATGATAGTTAGGTCGAATATTCCCGATTCTAATTCAATGGCCGAGATTTGTCACGGATTACAAAAGTATGTAATTATGTTTGCATTGTAAAAACCAAATAACTCAAGGGGAGGAGGGGTTGTTGTGTTATGCGATATGTCACATCGATCATTCTTGATAATAATGCTAGGGCCGCGATTGGTCACGGATTTATATCGTGTTGTGAAAATGCAATACAAATACTCAAATCTCGCAAAGTTTAACGACTTGACGCATGATGAGATGGCATAACGCATTATGTAATTGCAATAATGATGACCGGATTATGTTGAGAAAAGGGTGAAAAGTTTTGCATAGTCACGCGGAACTTAGCAAAGTTGCTTACGGATTCGTCCAGTGTTATTTCCATAATAGATCACATGGTTGAAAGCACAACAAAGTTATTGGCTCATTATACTAGAAGATTGTCATAGGAAGGATACACAGGTCATAGGTCAACTACCGAATCATTAAATTTTAATTGATATAAAATGTGATATACTTTAAGCTTCTACACATTTAATGGCTCAAACTCGAATAGATTCAGGAGATAAACGACCCATTTTAAAAGTTAAGCTGCATCGAGCGTGTCTCGTACTTGCGTAGGAGATTAATAAATTGAACAAGTAAATGCAAATATTATTAGCTTCCAACTAATGATTCGTTGTGAAAACAACATCGATCAATTTTCCAAGCAACTTGGCTAACTTTCCCGTCATTTTGCACAACTTTGTATGTTGTTATCAACACACTACGGCCAACTTGTACCGACTACAGAGGCAATATTTTGTGATCTGTGATCATTTGCGGCTATAATCACGACTTTAAACAAAATATTATCGAAAACGCAGTGATGACAAACACATCTCAAATAATTATATGACATTTGCATGTGTGTGACTAAATTCAACAAAAATAATAGTTTCATTCACTTGTTCAATTTCGGCGGAACCGTGAATTTTGCTAACAAGTGCATATGACCGTCAGACAAAACTTAGTAACAACTTTAAACAGTATCGGTCCGAATTTCCAAAACAACAACATATGTCTGACGAGAACTAATAAAACGTATATTAATTTGTTATCAGATCAACTTTAATGTCATTAAGAATCACACAGTGTTTGAAGTCCGCAGAACAATATCAAAAGAATGCACAGAAGAACAAGGCAACTCCAATTTTTATAATTTCTTCTAGATATTATAAACTATTAATCAGGGATGAGTGATAGCATATTTAATGTTTATACTGATTACATTCGAACATGCACGAATACATATTCGGTTGTGCAATTTTGTAAACGTGAATAATATACGACTTGTTTTGTTACACATATACATATTAATTAGTGTACATTGGACGGATTGTTAAAACACGCATTCAAAACATCTTGCGAATGGTATTATTATAACTGTGTCACCGTTCTTGTCTATACCCACAGTTCTATCACATTTCCAAGTGTTATAGATATGTAAGATTTAACCAAATATATGTAATCAATTAACATGTACACACTTTTCGAGAGAGACATTGTCATTTCAGTTGCGACTTACTGCTGATAAACTCAATGTGTCATTGTCTTACCACTAGAGTTTGGTAAAACCTATGCTGGAATCATGTAACTAACCAACACTAGTATTTCCTGGTATAAAACTATTATAAGCATTATATAGTATCATAAATTAATTAAAAACATCCGTGTTAAACATGATTAAACATATTACGAAGTACCAACTCGTACGTTTTCCGTGCCTCCGTATTATATAAATACAGGTGAACACATTGAAAGGCTAAACTAAAGGCAGATTCTCAGCAATAAAGGACGGTTTGCTACAAAATAAAATTTTCTAATACAGATATTTGTTGTCAATTAGATTTTTCACTCTCAGATTAGTCATATGTGCATCTTCGGACGCTATAGTGACAGTGGAAGAAGTGCAGTGAAAATGCGAACCACGAATTCTGACATAAGATGAACGTTGTTCTATCGCCTCGTTGCTTCACACATCTGAAAGAAGAAAAGAACGACTTTGAGTAGCATATACCGAGAAAAACGACATTTCCCACGAAGCTAGCCAAATAACTGTGGTAACTCCATATCCTGCGTGCAAATAAAATACTGTGTTACAATAAAAGCTTGAACACAGTTGTTATGACTAATTGCACCGATCTTTGATGTTTTTGCAATATTATCAGGTTTTGGAAAAGTTATGTTTCTGATTTGAGACTATCCAAACCTTGTTGATGTAGACATATTTGAATAATATCTGGGTATGTCGTCAAATTTCTTCATTGGCTTCCCAATAACACCACCAATATCACCCTCATACAACTAAGAAACATTACATGAGGCCGAGAATTTCACATAACACCTTCGTAACATCAGATTACATAGAAACTCATAAAGAGCCCGGGGTGCGTATTATGGTGAAAAATAGTTATTGAGTACATCAGATATATTCGTAGCAGTGCATCGTAATGCATTTATATTGCTGCGTTCACGATGTCATTACCCACCGTATCTGAATATTCACCGATATCTATAGCATTGCTAAGAAATTCTAAATTATTTAGACATCTCTTGAATAATGTATCGACTTTGTTGACAATGATGCTGAGTTTATCATTTTCCATTGCCCACTCTCTAGTGCCTGCATGGATCAGCAGTTGATCGGCTGTCTCCTTTAAAGAAATCACACAAGGCTTGAAGTCATCGAGCTCCTGGCGGAACCTCTGTAACAAAGATATACATTGTTACATACATGTTCGTTTTATTTGGAGTATTACATACATAGTGACTGTTATAGCACTTGTACATAATAAATCTGTTCAAGGGAAAAATGAATTATTTACTCATACCAAGTATTTTCGGTAACACTCAATCAGCATGTATTGGTCAATAAGTAGTTCCAATGGTTCCATGTCATCCATGTGATTTTCCATTTGCTGCAGCCAGCCAATTAGGTCGCTCGTAGTTGTATGAAACTCATCACATCGAATCAATCGACGCTGTAACTGCTTCTGCCAATCATATGCCAGTGAACACACGATCTCCCATCGGTCATTCATCGCCCGGACTCTCTTTTTCATTTCAGGACCACGTATGGACTCGAGTGAGGTGAACTTCTTACTGCACAAGTTTATAGACATCACTATAGCTTTTCTCGCTTCTAATTCTGCTAAGAAATCCTACATATAAGCGTAATTTGTGTAATTAAATGGAATAAAATCAAGAATTGCGTTCTCTATACTATTCGTATTAGTAAGAGCTGTACATACAAGTATGATCTGTATAATATTTAAAATGAAATATTCGGTTAATTATCCAACATTCAAACGACTTACCCGTTGTTGACGGATAGTAGAATCTAAGTAATAAATATCACCACTAGACCCAATTTGCGAACTGAGTATATTCTCTGCTTTATCTAGCCAGCTGCATATATTGTTTATGTCACTTCTGAATCTTTGCCATTCTTGATGTGTTTTTTGCATTCTACGATGCTTGTCTACCACATCAGACTGCACAACTTCCCATCTGTTGATGATAGCTAGAAAATAAAGATCATTTTCAGTAATATTTATATTGAATTGCATCTTGATAATAATACACCTACATGCATATGTAACATGAATGTCATTTAAAGATTAAATGCGTTTAAAAGCTCTGATCTTCATTGAAAACAAAACACAACGGCTAGTTGTTATAATCTAATAAAAAACACACTTATAAAGCACCATGGCTCTATATTACGGAAAATCAACCATAATTGCAAGAGATCTAGTTTCTAGTGTATCATTTGGGTATGTTCAACTAAAATTACCGACAGTAAACTATCTGTTATCGAAAATATTAGTTCAATGTGATCTGCACTATTGAAAACAAAACACAATGGCCAGTAGTTATTATAACGCAATAAAATACAATTATAAAGCACCATGGACCAATGTTTTATATTAAATACTATATTAAATAATTGAAAGAGATCTAGTTCCTAGTGTTTCATTTGGGTATGTTGAACTAAAATGACCGACATTTAGCTATCTGTTATTGCAAATATTAGTTTCAATGTGATCTGCCGATGCATGTCGCATTGACAGAAGTGAATCAGTACATCCCAGTGTTTTAAGTGTGCACTCATTTTGCACAATATATCTAATGCACTCTGTTTTATTTGTTATGTATCACACTAAAAAAACACAGTTTCACCCCGTAGACACATCAAACATAATTTCACCTCTTCAAATAGCAATGTGGATTCATTGACAACCACAAAACAATTGTACTAACGTTCAACGAGTGTTAAACACTAAAGACATGACTGCAATATGAGACCTGTAAAAGCAAATATCTAAAGCATCCCTATTAACATGAAACCTACTTGTTATTTGATCAGTTAATGTTGGATCATCCAATAATCTGTTAGCAAGACCTTTGATGATGGAAACACAAGCCACGGTGTCTGACATCAGTGACTCCTGCAGACAAATTCATACATGCTATAAGTTTATAATATACTATAATAAGTATGAATCTTTAGATAACCATAAATAAGCACCAACTCACATATTCACTTTTTTCATACTCGACATCGCAACCAGCTGGCATTCTTCTTTCCAGAGCAACCTCCATCTGTTCAATTTTGCCTTCACACTCTTGTAAAATTCTCAAGATGTCACCAGAAGGCGAAACATAATCCCTGTATTGTGCTATCGAAGGCATTTCTTGGTAAGATGTTAGATTTGCTGTATCCCAGTCAAAAGATCTACTACTGATGGGAGTGTAACTTTCTGAAATTTCTCTTAATGATGAAGCAACTTTGGCACTGTCATACGCGGAGGGGGTTCTTTTTCCGGAAGCTGTCCTGTGATTTTGACTAATACTTGATCTGCTTGATCTCGTGGGACTACTTGATTTGCCATATATGCCCGGACTACTTTTTCTAGATGGATAATTCAATGAAGATTTCAGACTGTCACTCTGAAGTGAAATTGTTCAAATAATAGTTTGGATTATAAAAATGAACTAAATAAATGTGGTAACCACACAATGCATTAAAATGAAATTAGATATGCATGTTCTTGAATACAAACTATACCAATATTACATTTTAAATGATATTGCGCAAAACCTCTCCCTTATATACTCAATTGTTGGTTCTTCATTTTATACATAATTACTTCATATCCTGAATCGCAACATGTATATGATCCATATGTTGTCGCTAAGCAGAGCATTACATATATACACTGTTTCGATGGTCCACAGATTATAACAAGTGGGGTTTAGTTTTAAAATGTAAGGGGCTTTGCTGAACGTTTTTGCATGGGAATTGAAATTGAGTTTTGTTTTGTTTTAGCCTTATATTGTTATTGTCTAATATCACAGCCAGGGAAAATGATGTGTTGTTTTGATTTAAAGAAACGCAGCTTGTTTAGCTTAATGGATTAACACACTTAGTCTTACTTGTTTCTCACATCTGTCGAGTCAACCTATCACTGTGGGGAATATTGTAATGTAACATGCAGAATGTATATAGTTGTTGGTATAAAATTACCGGTGATTGTGGGAGCTTTTGCAATCTATGCGGGAGCCTGCTCACTCTGCCGTATACTTCATTATAATACTTGTTGAGTTCATCAAGTTCTTTCTGTATAAATTCTGCATCAGTTGACTGACACTTTTGCATCAGTGCATGGGCCAACATATTTACAGTTTCTTGCCTGGTTTTGTTTGAATCCATTTCATTTTGAAAGGCCTGTAATGTAAACAAACCAATTCAGTTTAGTGCGTTTGAAATACTTTGATTCCAATGCAATGATTGGTTTAATCAGAACCCAATTCATTATAATATAAAAAATAAGCTCCATGCTGAGAACAATAATGTACATAAATGCAAGGGTCTTATAAGCAAAATGTTTACCTAAGTGAAGAATCACAATGTATGAGCCATCGCAATATACTCCATAATATACCAAAGAGTTAAAGCGCAGTGGTCGTCGCGCAGCGCGTGTTCGAATTTCATGTAAATAAACAATTACGCGTTGTATACGTTGCTATGAGTCCCATATCGAACAGGACGCGGCACGACGACTGCCGCACTTTAATATGGTTCTCTTAGCTGTGATCACAAATGAATGAGGTAATAAAACAAGTGAAAATTAACATGAAGGTATTAAAATGACATGCCAAATAGAAGAGAACATTATACAAGACCGAACCATGTGAATGGATTTCATTCTACCAACTGGGAATTCTGCAAAATGCATTTGTGTGAGCGTCCAACATTCCTAGGATATATATTTTACGATTGTTCAAGTAAATGGGGACACTTTAACCATCATACGATTCTGCTGGCTGATATTATAGTTCATTGCAATATTTTTGGAAAACAATACTGACCTTTATTTGTTGAACCTTGACCTTCGTATCAGACTCTGAGAGATGCTCCAGGTCAGTCAGCCTGAGACCAAGTTCCATCAACCAAACCAATAAACTTTCCCTTGCAGTTTCAAACTCGTCCCTTTGGTGCAGCATCAACTTAAGTCTCTTAATAACACTTGTACATCGTCTTGATAAGTTATCCCATCTATTATTTACATCATGCACCATGGACTTCAATTTGTCACCGCTATCTATCCTGCCTTCCCTGGCAAGTCTTCGGTATTGCTTGTTTATTATCTCTAGCTGGGTAAGATTTTCATGTACGTCAGTTTGGAATAACTAAATAGCAAAGAAATTATATATAATTATAAAAAAGGAACAACCTCAAAACTACAACACAGTTTAAACGTTATCAAAACCACATATTCGAAGCTTAATTTAAAATGACATTAATTAACTAACTATTATTATGTACTGAAATGAAAAATCTTAGGTTTGTAGTTACATTTTTCCACTGCACTTGTTTAACAAATGAGGTCATACTTTCACGAATGTTATATTTCAATGTAATCAATAATATATAGTTATTATTTAAACTTAATTATTATAAGTTATACAATATAAATACATCAATTAATTTTATATGTAACAATATTCGATAACGTAATGTAGTACTATTATAGCTAGACTTACTTCAAATTGTTTAAGATCTTTTTTCATATCCACAAATGACGCAGTTGAAGAGTTGGGTATGTAGGCCACTCTCTCTGCGGATACCAACCAATCTTCAAATTTTGTATGATCGTCAAAAATTGTCTGCCAATGCCTACAAGTCTCTTCAATACTAAAATCGAGAAGACTTTTTTTTAGAAATCTGTGCTATTTATTAGCTATGTTAATAAACAACAATTGTTCAACATTGTTCTACATTTATGAATGAACAAATAATTTACCTCATCCTTCTTTTCATTGATAACGTATTTATGTGTCGCCACCTGTAATCCAGGTTTCTAGTTGATTTTTGGATTGCTTCACATTCACTTTTTGTGGGACAAGCACCACAGTCGTTTAGAAGTTCTTCACAAAAGTCTAACACTGATGCAACACCTATGCTATGACTTTCAATGTCCTTCTGCAACGTCTGGTACACACATTGGAAATGAAAGTTATAGAGATATTACTTGAACACTCGTCATTACCACTATATGATACAAAATATCGCAAATTGTGTAATAAGACAAATAGTACGATTGTGATGAGTTGAATTATCACAGTTAGTTATCATCAACACTTCTTACGTTTCAATGGATGTTCGTCATCAATATGAACTAATAATTAACCTATTAAACTGCAACAAGTTCATTAATATATGCCGTGCAATGCAGGAAAGGCAATTTGTCCCCGATATTACACGCATTTTCAATTTCCCCATAACCTAGAAGCGAGTATTCAGCAAGGGAGCATGCACGCCTTCTGACAAAAAAGCAAGCAATCTATCAAGGAATCAAGTAGTAAACAAGCATGCAAACTCATAATTAAACTAGTGACATACTAACAATCAACCGTCAATTACCAAGGTGTATGTGCAAAATGCATTGACAGTATATTAATCACACTACTTACATGTTATATAAGAACACCAAGTATTAATTTAAGTGATAGTCTTGGTGGTAATCATTTAACCACACATCACGGTGATTAGATCAAGATATAACATGCTAACCAATATGTTTAGTTCTTAGTTATTTGACATTAAAGGCCGTTTCATTTAAATGTCATTTTTTGCAGTCTTCAAAAAAGAATATATACGTCGTATTTCATGTGTGTGTGCTTTTATTGATTTGTGAAAATATATGCAAATATAAAATAAGAAAAATGATAGTTGATTTATTTAATCACAGTTTTACGTAAATTTAGTTTAAATTTCGATCAAAATTCGCAAAAACAGTTACAGCACTAATTTATGCAATAGCCGTTGTTAATGTGAATGACTCAATACTATGCTAATTACACGTAAATAATTACATATTTGCGATGGTAGTAAAGGTGGGTTGCATGTGGAACAGTTATGACGATTTCAGAGTAATTAACATGCACTATATATTATTCAATTTTCATTTCACCTAATAATGGCCAAAATACCATAATTTGAATATATATATATATATATTATTCGTCATTATTTGAGACTATAGTTGAGGAATGCATTAGGACAGACCTGTTTCCAGTCCTATACTCTAATTTGAGTAAATAAATAGACAAATAATCGATATTGACATTTGTCAGTACACTCCTATATGATATGGACAGTGGTTCGGTATTGGAATATTGGTATATTGCATGACATAAATAATACAAATGTTACCTGTTGCGTTTGCAGTTTCAGTCGTATCTCACTAGCATCATACGTTTCATAGACTAGAGGTGTTGAGAGCTCCTTCTCAATATAGGAAAGCCATTGGCAAAGGTTACTCATGTTATTTTCAAGTTGTTGCACAGCTACCAGCGTTTGCTGTAGCTTCTTTGTCCTGTAATAAGCAGGCAAACAATAACAAGAGATTACAAATACGTTTATCTTATGTATACGTTATTATTATACATCTGTTACAGTAACGCAATAAGTTATAGCGTGCCATAATTGTGAGGTATTTTACGGGGTATTTTCATCCTACCAAATAAGGAAATCTGAATTCCAAATATGGAGTAATTACGCGCGTAAGCGTCCTCTAATAATACAAACAAACATGGCTGCCACCAGGGTTTGACCGGACTCCACACAGAGAAGTTAGTTGATTCTGTTATGATTTTTTTTGGATTTTGGCATTCCCTTGATGTCTCCTTGGACGGAAAAGATGTATATTAATGGAGGTTATTACGAGGATACCTCAATGTATGCACTCAGACAGTACGCCGTCGCATCGACAGACGCGCATTTTGTAAACTAATTATCACAAGGTACATATAATTCACAGTATGCGTGAATCGAGCGTTTTTTATTGATGTGGTTCGAGCATCCCAAACTTAATAAAACAATAAATTCATATAAAGAACTCACCTAAAAGATATGAAGTTCATGAGATGTTTCCATTTATCATTTATCCGAGCGAGTTTATATTCTATCTCACTGGCTTTGAGTTCGTTACTTGCGGAAATCAATCTTTCTCCCAATTCAATCAACTGTTTTTTATTATCAGCTGCCGTTTTCAATTCTCCACTGTATGCCTACAGATGAAGATAAACTCGTGTTCTATAGTTTATGTACTAGTTTTAGAGAAGAACGTCAAGTTGGAAACCACTTAGTTAAAAAAGGATAAAGTTTTTTAGATTATTATAACGCATAACAAATATATTCGTAATACTTTACTCTTAACCGTAAATATTCATCAAAACCTTTGATTGTATTATCAATAACATTCGTTTGTGATTAGTGATCATGTGTAAATATGCAAATTGCCTAATTAGTTGGCACAATTGTTACTAATAATGAGGCGGTCTTTTATTAATCCACTCAAACTGATTACATTCGTTTACTGACTTTATTCTACGACGAGCGGGTATCAAAATATCGCGATTACACGTCTTGTCATGGTTAGCTATCATTGATCACGTTTTGAGCATCTTGACTAAAACTGATGATCGTGTAAATCGTTATATGGTCGTTCGTAATTTGACTACATCAATATCACTATGCTACAAATTAATTATGCATTTTATCCATAATCATATGTATGTAACATAGGCAAGTGCACTGTGTTCAAAACCATTTCACACTGGATGTAATACATCAAATGGACATAAAATGTGTGCGATATTTTTCAGATTGTCATTAATCATTTGGAGTTGTAAAGTGAGATGACTGAACTTACGTGTTGAAGTTCATACAGCAGACCTTCAATGTTGTTTTCACCATTCTTAGACATCTTAACTTCCGTTTTGATAAACCAATCAGAAAGCTCCTTGTATCTTTCTGCAAACAGTGACCATTCATGGATTTTATCTATGATTACCTGTTTTCTATTAACCGTCTGGTGTCGTATCTCGTCCCACTGTTCAGCAAGCAATGATATCTTTTCTCTGAGTATTGATAAATCCTCTGGATTGATAGTTCCGACAAGTTCGTGTTCTAGGGTTGTTAGTGTTTTCAGTTTGACCTGCGACGTCACAAAAGCAGATTCCTGTTGCTATAAAAAAAACATAAAGTGAGTAAGACAAAATAAAAATAAACATCCTCTCAACTTAAAGTTTTAAAATGGAAATAAAAAAGAACAAACTCACCTTGCAATTTTGCAACTCGTGCTGTAGTTCTTCATATAGGCAAGGTAATGAACCATTCAACATCTCCTTCGTATCAATTAACCATGCCTGTAAGTCTTCAATATGTTGCTCAGCACTATTCCACTGTCCGATAAGTTCTTCTAGTTTGTGTGTTTGTTTATTTAATGCAGCTGTAATATTATACCAGCGTTTCTGGGAATCGGTAAGCTCCATTTTGATAACCTCATTGGCTACTCTGTCTGATATGCGCATTAGTTGTATACCATTTTCGTTTAGTGATAAGAAGTTGCCTTCCTGAATTGAAACCTCTTGTTGAGTATTCTTAAATGAAGCAAATATGAGGGTCAGTTTCCATTTTGACCCTCACCCTATAAAACTATCTTTGGAATATTTGTGGTCAGTGGAGAATTATTTTCATTTGATTTAAAATGACTATGGTAAATGGGTAAAATGCCCCCAAAATTGTCGAAATAATCAATGATTGCGTCTGAAGAGATGATTTAAACATATCATCAATTACGTTCTGAATTAACATACAATAGAGTTAATTATCTGAGTATTACTGATGATAATTATACCACTTCCTTTATTAGTACATAATTAATTCAATTTAATTCTCATTTATATTACCTTCCATCAGCATTTTGAAGTTTAGTGATAATTATATTCCAATAATATATCTAACTGAACTTGAGATTGATCATACTTAGACCCCTTTTTTCATCATCAGAAATACCATACTCTCTCCAATCTATGTGGTTGTGGTTACACAGATACATAAAGCGTTTTATTGTGTCTCAGGTTGATTTATGTTTGGTAGTGCCACATGTTGAACAGTGTCTCACTATATTCGACACGCATCACTCATGTATAGTATACCCTTGCTGATTGCATGCAGTGAGGTGTACTTGTCAATCGTTTGTTTTGTGTTGAGTAGTAATTATATAAGTTTATTAATAACTTCGTATTTGACTTACTTCTGCCTGTTCCAGCATGTGTTCCAGTTTCAGTAACGTGGGGCATGTGATTTCACATGCAGCTATTTCTTCATCCATCCCATCAAACCAACTATTCATCTCATCCAACATCATTCTGTATGTTTGCCAGTCTGCGATGGCTTGGTCGATAATCTCTTTACGTTGACTGGCCCTCTTCACAACACTCTGCCATTGCTCAGTCAGTAATATTAACTTATTTTTGAATTCTTCCTGGTCATCAAGCTCGAATTCTTTCAATATCTTTTGACCATCACTTATGACAGAGAACAGGATCTGTTGCCGATTGAATATGTCTGATTCAAACAACTGCAAGAAATTACATGAGTCCGAAGAAGAAAAATTTAGACCTTATTATTTAGTTACAGGAAATTTGTAACTATGCTTAGTCTACACCGATAGTTTATCAATTAACTGCTTTTTATCCATGACATACCTCAAATAGTTGCTGTTGCTCTAGTAGAAGTTTGTAGTTCCCAGCAATATTAACAGAAAGGTTGGTTTCAATCTGAGCGACGAATATCATCCACGCGTCACATTTCTGGGCAAAGCTCTGATGTTGCAGCCATATGCCTTGCAATTTGCGGTATCTCTCGGACGTCTGATTGGACAGGGTATTCCACTTACGGTTCAAATTGGTTAGTTTCTGGGCATCACTGGTTTCCAAAGATTGTTTGTATCCCATTTCATTGAGCGAGTCCAGCTGGCTGTTGTTATTTATAAACTTGACAATTACAGACTGTGGGAATAAAATATATCTATGTAACCAATGAATTTATTCATTATAATTTGTTTTGTGTTTCTACATAACGTGTCAGGAAAAATGTCTAAGCGTTACAAAATCGGTTGGCATATTGGAAACATTTATTATTTATGGAAATTGAACGCCCATAATGCTAAATAATTGTGTCATACAGCACATTTTAATACGAAATATTACGTTAACGGCAATAATATAATAACATATGTATGTTGATTATTATACTTTACACTCATTAAAAGCTATCCCATAAATTTCTCAACCAAAAATTCTCATCTCATATATTAAGTATCAACACGGTTTTATTCTGGTATTTTTTTGTCAGGTTCTTCAGATGACACATATATAGGAAAACATACTGTAAAACATGTCTTTTTGCCGAGCATGTCTTGTTCGCGAATTTAGCGAGAGAACTGATTCGCTAATTCAAGATGTCGCTAATGACTTTATTATCAATTCAAAATGGCCGCCAAATAAGAAATCAACAATGACAAGAGAGATTCGCTAAATCAACATTTCGCTATTACGTAATTTTACCACAATTGGCTAAAATTGCATGCCGCTTTTTCAACATGTTTTACAGTACTCTGTACAGTGCTTTTCATGGAATGCACTTCCAATTGTGCATTGTAGAAGGTGCCTAACAAGATTCCAAGATCAGAGCAATGAGCAATACCCCTTAGTTGAACAAGCGATAATCTACCTTCAATTCTGCCATTCTGTCCTGTATATATTTCTCCTTGATTGACGTATTAGGATCATCTTTATCGATTACCTCCTCAATATTATCTATCCAGATTGTCAATGTTTGTAATGTGTCTTGGAACTTCCGTTGGGAAATAATGTAATTCTCCATCCTCTCCACTTGTTTATTTACCGTTTTTCGCATGTTATCGAGTTTCTATAGAATGATTTATAAAAAAAGAAACAATACTGTTATAAATTAGTGGAAATATGTTTACTGCAATATTTGTTCTAACATTGTCCAAAGGAACCCATGTGTATGGAAGGAAATAAACAATACGTTTTTATTCCTCACACATATTGTATCCACAGTTACTATATTATACTGTATAGTAGAAGAAACCAATGTCCGTGATTATGGGTGATTTATCTTTACTAAATCTCGTTGTGATGGGTGCAATATATTGAAATTAATTTAATTTTCTCCGATATATTCCAAATAGTTAAAAATTGATATTCCCACCTGTTGTAGTGATTTCTGCTGTGCTGTTATTTCCATAATTGTAGTACTGTCCGCATGTCCCGTGAGTGGATTGATTAGTAATGTTAACCCAGACACACTATGGTAGCTATCCAGTTCCAGTTTTAAACCCTATTTTAGACAAAACAAATCAGCCATGGTCTCTACTGAGTATGAACCATTATCAAATGTTACATCCTAAAGAAGGTAACAGACTTGCCATATGCTGCTTCCAATAGACTCCTTATATGATGTTTCCAATGTAGTATCAAGACTTTAACATGTCCATGTACCACTATAGACAATTCAGATTTAATTTGGTAAAATATTTGCATACATGTTATTTAAACATACGGTTGACACATGAGTTTGTGTGTACTCCTGCAAGTTGTTTAGTAATATGTCACAACTTAGTACGAGTATGACTGAAGGAATAAAACTATTAAACCCGTATTGGTATTAGTGAGAAAAAGTATATACAATAGCAACACTGTATAGGCACACTCAGTGAAATAATAATTTCGAAATATACCTTAGCTGACTCCAACTGTTTATTTTTGTCAGCATCACTATTTTGTGCAAAAAACATCCATATCATGGCTTCTACTCTGTGTTCTTTCCCTTCGATCCACTCTGCCACCTTCAGATATTCATTTTCATATGACTCCCAGTGCACCAAGGCTTGTTCGTACATGTGCATTGTGGCACCAACTGCCTTCCACCTGGGGAACAACAATAATACATAATAACGATACAAATCTGTCTTATTTAGTGTGCAACGTCCAGCGTTCCCATGTAGTATTTGTATTTGTTACAAGTCCGTAATTGCAATGTCAAGTATGCGAACTAAACTGAAGCAAAGCAATTGTCTTCAACTTACCTGATACTGATGTCAGAGATACTTGTTTCTAATTCATTGCCAACAGAAGGCTCACATACTTGAATCAACTGTTTGGTTAAGTTGTTTAGTGTTGCCAAGTGAATATTACTGTTCTTTAATTCTATTTGAAAGCTCTTTATAGTAAAGAAAACAAAATATAGTATTGTAGAAATTGAATCATATTAAAAACAATAATTATGTGTGAACACAGTATGCATTTTCAGCACAGACAAATTGTACAAATGTTAATTTAAATGTTTGCTAATAAAACAATACTACTTGTTTTAAAGAAATCAAGTATTTTTTCCTCTTAATAGACTTTATATAGACTTTATATACCTTAACTTTATATAGACTCGACTTGAAGGAATCCAATCTACCACTGATAGTTTTTAATTTACTGACAATGTACTCGGCTTCAGTGAGACACTTGCTCACGATGTGTAACGTCTCGTTATATTGTTTCCACAGATCTAACAAAGTCAGTAGATTTCTTTGCAAATTAGATCGTTTCGTTAAAAGGGTATTTTTGGCTTGTTGAATTCTATCGATTGTACTTTGTATTTGACCCCTTGAGCAGATCTTGAGACCAGACTTCTCCATCATTTCCAGTTCATGGCTCTTGGATTCCACCAGCTCTTCAACAACCTGTGAGACCCAACAGACATTTCAGTATAGTAAGACAGGACATTATGTGGGTCAAGCACAGAGCATATACAAATCATAGGTAATACTGAACCGAGCAATCTTACCTGACAATCTCTCAACGCATTTCGCACTTCAATTTCATGTCCAATAGTACCTTCATGTCGTACAATCCTGCATTCTTGCTGCTCATACCACTTCAACACGTCATCGATACTCTTCTCATAGTCTATCCAGTCTGTATGTAGAATCTCTAAGCTTTTTATTCTGTCATTTACTTCTTTATTAATCGATTGCCACATGTTGTTAAGTGCACATATTTGTTCAGCAAAGTCTGTCGTGTCACTGTTTTTGCTGTTCTTATCTTGATTTGCTTTGTTAATAAACTCCACTGTCATCTGCCTAGATTGTAAGTCGAGTTGATAATCCTGTAAACCAGTGTAAAAAAAAGACTATTACGTAACAAATTTGGTAGTATGGAATTAAAACCATATGCAATACATGTAGTATACATTCGAATATGCATTATCCAAACAAACATGTTTCCACGAACGTGTGAGAATCGTACCTTGTATTTTCGGAGATCACTTTCAACATCAATTGAGCCACTACAATCCGCCATATCATATTTGGCGATCGCCTTCTGGAGTCCGCCCATCCACATCATTAGTTCTGTCAATGCCTGTCGTGATGGCAAAATCTCCATCTGTAGACGATGCAATTCGTCTTGCAGAGCTGGAATATCAGACATCAGTTTATTCCAATGGCTTTCTATTATGCTGATTTTTTCTTTGACACACTTGATGTCTGTTGTTTTAAGAATGACTAGCTGATTGCCGTTATTCACAACAGCAGTTTTAATATTAGAGTGGCTATCCACATCTTTCCTGAATTCCTATGATATTGCAAAAGAGAGAGAAATAAATAAATGTTAGGTTGTTCTACATTGTATTTACTACTTTGAAAATTCTGTTTTGTACATTACTATATTGCTTGAGAATATTACTTAATAGATGATAGTACAAAGATGATTATGTTTTATGTGAAATTGTTATATGCCAATCATGTAGCCCAATTAAAATATGCCTGCTTCAATTATGCGACTATTTACTTAATTTTCGTCTGATTGCAGGAAACCTATGATTTGATTGATTTGAAATGCAGGCCTATCAATCAAGATTGTTTTTTGGAATAAACGCAATTAATTATAATTACCAATCACTCACCATAAATTTATCCAGTTGATGAGCAATTGAACCTTTTTCTGAAACGTGTTCTCGTCTGGTCCACTCGTCAAGCCATTGCAATGCGCGTTGTAACCAGTCCACCAACTCGTCAGATTCTGATTCAAAGGTCATCCATGTGCTCAACAGTAGATTTAAAGCCTTTAAGCTGGTTGTAACTTTACCCTTAAGGTCCATCCATCTTTCACTGAAATCCCGTACCCTCGATTCTAATGCTGGACATGCAATATCCTTCAGAAGATTCCTTCCTAGGGTAATAACTTGATCTGAAGACGTCTCGTTGTCAGCAAGCAATGTCTCAATTGCCTAACAAAGAAGGCGTGGATGATGTATTTGAGGTTTTGGTTATGATATAATAAATGTGAAGTTAACTTAACATAACTCTTGACAATACGATGGTGTGCCTTGAAATATACAATATTCACTGTGACTAGATTATTATAGTCATCTCGTATATTCATAGAACAGAAATTAAAATGGGGAAAATGTTATTCTGAGATATATTTACCTACTTTTAATTCATATCAACAAATTTTTACCTGGAGGCGGTGTACATTCTGCTGTATCACCTCTATATTACTGTCTCGTGTATCTCCTGGAAGTTGAGATTCCATGTGTGCTAACCAACCGTTCAGCTCACAGTACCTCTTCTCGAAGTGCTGCCATTCCTGCCCTAGCCGCTCCAACTGACGCCCTTGTTGACTGACTTGATCTTGGAGTTTGTGAGTGCGCTGATACAGACTGATCTGTAGGGAAGCGTATTTCTGTCTCGTGGCATTGTCAGTCTTTTGTGCAAAAGATTCGATCACTAATCGGTGTTCCTCCATGTCACTAATGAAATCCTATTATATATACATATACATATCCCTTATTACGTTAGTATTTAATTATTACGTATCGAGTTTTTTATTCATTGCTTGGCAAAACTGAGGTTGTAGGCTACAGTGAAAAATATTATTTTGTGCAATACAAAATAATATTTTAAAAATAAATTTGACAAAATTGCTGTTTGTAAAGTAAACGCGGCTGCACAACGTTTAATGGCGTAACCTCATTCAAAACCAGACAACAAAAAGTACTCTGTCAGATAATATAATGATTCGCTCTATATTTCTATGCACATTTCAAACGAAAATATCTTTACAATAGAAGCATGATAACAGGTAAAAACCCGTAAAATGTATGTTGTTTATACCAACATATCTTTATACCATTATCTTGGTACAGAATATTGCAGCATAACGACTTGTCGACTTAAATACCACGTTTTCCACCCAACAATCATGTTCAAATGATTTGAAAACTACGCACTTTAGATAAATATTTGAAAATTACAATAAGTCATTGTATATACAAGACAGTATTCACTCACTCTATACTTGACATATTGTTCCTGCAAATCATGCAGATCAGAGGCGATTATTTGTTCGTACTTCAACTTTCTTTCCACAGTATCTAGGTAGTCACCATAGTTACCCATCATCTTTTGATACTGTTCTTGCAATAGTTTTGTTTTGTTCAATTTATTTCTCCGCACAGTAACATGCTTCAGTAAATCGTCCCAGCTGCTCTGAAGATTTATAATTTCCGTTGACAGCTGATGACGATGATCTTGATCCGACATGCATTGTTTTCTTTCCGAAATTCCATTCAATCTGCCTTCATATTTCTGGATATCATTCTCTATTTCCTATAACAATAGGACAAAAAAAATATATTGACACCTCAGAGAATTGCAAATAATTAATTATAAGTCAAAACTTACATTGATTGTTCAAGATACGTTCGTTCATGGAATGAACAATTGAAAACATAGTTTATTCTAAACACAATATAAACTAAGATTGAAATAAAACAGTTTGGATATATGTTCATCAAAGAGAAGAACTTCGATGTAAATATGATTTCTACATAATCTTTACATGTTTGTGTTAATCAATTTTTCTAACAGTTTTTAGTATTCGAGTAGATATTCCAACCAATGACAGATATTCAAGCTTTTTATTTCTGAAATGAACATTTCCCAAACGATGTAAATAATCTATTTCAAACACGAGTCTGATAAAAAAGGCAACTAACTCAGAAGCCAGAGGGATGTGTAGCTGTATATGTGGCGCATATCATAACGTAAATTGAGTGGAGACAACTATATTTTCACCAATTTTAACAATATACATATTAGCATGATAAATTCCTTGACTTTTTAATTGTGTAGATCAGATGCAAGTGCATATCAATTAGGTTACCAAGAAGAACGATGTCGATTAGTCTTACTGCCTTTATTAATCTTGACAAATGTGATTATCATTTACCAAACTGAAGATCATGAATAATGGATGAGTTTTGTTTTTCTTTACCTGGGCGATTAGTAAACTCTCTTCCAAAGAACATTTTCCCTCGTCGTCTCGATCCTTATCACATTCTAACATTTGCTTAGTGTCACAAATCCATTTTTGTAACTGGTGGATCTCGTCCTGTTGATGAGAAGTTAAGTATAGTTTTTAATTATAACGGCTTTATAATGTTAATGATGGAAGTAAAAAATAGGCAGGTATGTCACACATTGCAAATAATGTTATACCATGCCCTAAAAATTCCATAACGTTTCATATTGAATATAATCACACCGACATTGGTGATTGTACAAACCCGGTATACAGTGTACTGCAATTTTCTCTCTTGTAATTCCTTGTCTTTCTCTCGTGCTTTTGTTTCCAAAGTTGTTAATCTATCTGTGAGATCCAGCAAAGCCTGCTTAATCCGAGCTCTATCTTTGGTATCGGCTTCAGCTATAATCATTTGGCACGCTTGGTTCATGAAACCTATCTGGTCTTGAAAGTCTCTAATAGCAGTGTACAGCTCCTGGAATGGGCGTGTTTTACACATAAATAATTTTGCACAAATTAACTGTTCACAATTTTGCAAGCGGGATAAATTTATATGTTTCGTTTTTTATATAACAATTTTATAATGATCATATTTAACAGTGAAATAACGACAGTGAAATTTAGCTCAATATACATAACTCGTAATTGTACTGGTGTTAGTGCAAATGATATAAATACAGAGTAAAGAAAACGTGCTAGTATACTAAAACACGAAAATATAATTGTGTAAAAATCAAATCTATATTTTTCTATTGATAAATAAAATAATTGTTTTATAGATCTGTGTTCAGAAAATCAGCGTCTATTGTGCCACACTTTATTCATTTTCCCACAATAGATGGTGACATTTTACAACATGTTAATAAATGGGAGAGAATGAAAAAAAATAATTAGAGAAAGGTCTTATACTGTGTCTGGAACACCATTTATAAACTATGAATGAACAATTAAGTATGCAGATACAATGTTGTTGTAGCAAAATTAATGATGGCATGGCATTATAAATGGCGACCGCTGCATCACCAGTAAAACTGTCCAAGGCAGATTAAACTGTCCCGTCTCTCATAAAGAAATGAAACTTACCATGAACTCAAAACGTATCTAATATTGGATTACTAATGTCAGTGAGAGTCAAAATCATTTGGGATTTACGAGAAATGTCGAGATAGATTAACTCACTGCATGTTCTGCTAACTGTTCTTCTGTGTCTTTACTCCAGTCTGTGGAGAAGAGTTTGTTCTGTACAGTGTCTAACCATTGAGACACGGATAACAATGAATCCTGGTATTGTTCTTGAAATTCAAATAATTGGTCTAGTCTTGTTTGTTTGTCCTTTGCCTGTGGGGGTCAGAAATAGAATAAACATTGTATTTGGCATATGTGGTATGTCGGAATGTGTAAGAACGTTTCTTAAATATCATATTCAGCGTATGTCATCAGTTCGGGTCCTTATATGTATATCGAATGTATATTAAAGCTAATACCTAGTCATTTTGATATCCAACATATCTAAAAGCTTATAAACTTTACTACATGGGGTGAAATATGTTTTGAAAGTTGACCTTACCTGGGTTTGCAGTTTATCCCAACATTGACTAAGTGCCTTTAGCACAGTTTTTAGGTCTTCGGATGTGGTCTCAGTCTCAGGTAAATCATATCCTGCAAGCATTTTCACTTTATACTGATGCAATGGGGCACTGTTATAACCTTCCTGCAACAATAACATGTTAATGTCAAAGGTCCCTTTCTTCAGAAAAAGTATATTAGACAATGAATACTATCCTAACGTGACACAAATATAAAAGCAAAGTAATCAATATAAAGCACTGCCAACCTGATTTTTGGTGTGCTTCAAACTATCCTCTAATTGCTGTTTTCGTTCAGCAATTTTCTCAGACAGTTCCTCCCACTTTGAGTTTTGTACTGCGTAATCTCCTGTGCAATCAATACCCAGACTGTCTTTAAGTCCAACAATTTCCTCAGCACGCTTTGCCACAGATTGTATTAGTGCATGGTGTGCAGAAAGCTCTTCTGCGAGTTTCTAAAAAAAGAAAAAAATCATAGCAAATTAGAAACAGAATATACAAACAAGTTACCAGATCAGTAAATCTATTACGTAGTTCGATACAACAATGTGTTTAAAGTTCCAGAGTCCTAGTGCAGATTTATAAAGTGTATAACATGTATCTAGGTACGGTATATCATGAGACCGCATCTCATGATGTAAGATTGTCACGTTACTCTCAAAGTTGACAAATAGTTTAATTTGCCAGTCATGACACTGTCGATTGATACTAATAACGACGTTTAAATGTATAAACACCATTAAGGTGACAGGTACTGTACAACACACTTGAAAAGACATAGACACTGTATATGTAAATAATTGAAAATACTGGTTACGCAATCGCCGACCACAGATGATTCGCGCATTTGTTGATATCTATTAGATATAATAATTGGTATGTTTTACATCTAAACATTGCATTTAAATATTGCCTGAATATGAGCCAATAAACACAATTCTTTCCACTATGATGAAATAACAAACATTTAAGAAACACAGATGCCAAGCGAGTGCACTATTGGAAAAACTGCTCAAATACGCAGGGTAAATCACTATTATATTGCCAGATAATAACAGAATGAAGTGTAAAATATACCGGAGAACCTCACAAAATGTGTTGAAGCATGAGATTTCTGCCGAAATTGCTGGCAAATTCCGAGAAAGAAAACCAATAAAGCAGTGCATAATTAAAGAAAGAAAGTGAGCTAAACGAAGGGTTCTATAGCTGGAACTAATTACTTCGAAATGAACTCACTAATTTGTCAAAGAAATGCATGCATGTACATAAAACGACTCAAAGACATTCCAAAATAAATGAGTATTTGTTGATTATTGAAAGCTACTATGAAATTTTATTTCAATCAATAAATATTTATGGTGATAATGTAGCTGAATCGTCGGTGTCATAATTTATGTCCGTTTGTGAAAATATAACCATAAACATCCGGTGTACAAATCACAATGTTACAAAGACTAGATCAAAATATAAAAAAACACAGTGAGTGTTATTATTGTTGTGATGAATTAAGGTTTTCAATTTTCTGAAAGAAGTTATTGTTGTGTGGATGACCTACTGCTAAAATTGCACTCTATAAGCCTGAACAAATATGCAACGTGGCTTGAACCTACTTGACGCTCTAGTTCCTGTTGCTTCAGTAGGCTGGGACTTGGCTCTGGAGCAGCTCTTATAGTTGGGGTAACACGTTTCCACTCATCTAACCAGCTCCGTAAATTCTGGCTATGTCGACTATACTCTTCAGCAATCAGCTGACGTGTTCTGATGGATTTAAGTGTATCTTCATTTCTGCTAAGTTCTTCTTTGAGACCATCCACGCGGGTTTTGAGTAATTCAGCTTGTGTTTGGATAGTTTTTTCGGGACTGTTTGGTTCACAAGATAGATTGAGAATCACGTCTAGCAGTTGAATGTTCTTTTCTAGCTCTTCCTGTAGCTTCTGCAAACAAATAATACGATTTCAAGCACCACTGATAAACATCATAAGAAATAGACTGGCAATGTGGTATTTGATAAAGTCAGTCAGTTTCAAGCTCCATTTACAATTAAAACAATTATTTATAACATACCCTATTTGTTATGATGTTTACTTCAGTATCAGCGATTTCATGTTCCCCATCCTCGTACAATACTAATGAATCATAATCTTCAAGAGACCGTGTTACCCAATCTTCCACTTCACGTAGTTGACCTTGATATTCTTGCATACGACGACGCTGGTCATCTCTTTCATGAATTTGCTCCTGCATCATTAACAAACAATGTATGAATAAATAAACCTATAATCATTTCCAATCACATACTCACTTTACCAATTTTGTAAATACTGTTTTCGGTATTTACTAATGAGAGAGAGAGAGAGAGAGAGAGAGAGAGAGAGAGAGAGAGAGAGAGAGAGAGAGAGAGAGAGAGAGAGAGAGAGAGAGAGAGAGAGAGAGAGAGAGAGAGAGAGAGAGAGAGAGAGAGAGAGAGAGAGAGAGAGAGAGAGAGAGAGATAGAGAGAGAGAGAGAGAGAGAGAGAGAGAGAGAGAGAGAGAGAGAGAGAGAGAGAGAGAGAGAGAGAGAGAGAGAGAGAGAGAGAGAGAGAGAGAGAGAGAGAGAGAGAGAGAGAGACAGACAGACAGAGA